AGATCCCAGCTTTTATTTAATACTAAGCCTTGAATTCAGTTTCTGCTGTTGCACAACTGGTTTGTGTCCCCAGTTGTTTCTCCACATCAGACACACTCAAAGTCTTCTGAAGAACTAATGGAAAAAGCTTAAATTGTGATAAAATTTATTGTATTCTAGGAATGTTCTCTTAAACTCATTAAGAAAATAGGAAAACTTGTTGTTTGTGCTTACCTGAAAACTTCTTTTCTGTGGATGGGTACAAAGGTCCCTCCTCCTTACAGCAGCAGGAGGGCAATGCCCAAACACACGCACATCTTCCAGAAGCACCAGATTTACAGTTCCAGATACCTGGAGTATTTGGTAAATGCAAAGGTTGTTAAGCCTGTTTGGAGGAGCAAATATCCTCTCTCCTCTCTGGTCTCACCCCCACAATTTTGCATTTTACACTGAAACAAGATGCCTGTGTCATTGGATGCTGATTTGCTCTGGTCTGGACAAGATTTCTCCCAGACTGAACTGCTTTTGTGAATATTATTTGAATAAAGGAGACATTAAGGAAAATGGGTGCTCAAAGGTACGCAAGCCAGCATGATGAAATTTTCATGGCAGTTTACTCAGCAGTGGGATGCAGAATCAGGGGAGTGGATTATTTTCTTTTCTTTCTTTCTTTCTTTTTTTTTTTTAATATAGTCATCCTAAATATCTTATGCCCTTTGTTCCTCTCTCTAAATTAGGGCATGGAGACACACTTTTTCAAAGAGAGATTGTTTTTCTCCAAGGCTCTTCTCTGGGCAGGGGGTCACTTTGTGGATAGTTAATGGCTGGGGAGCTCAGCTGGAGGTTTTGCCCTCAGACTGACTAAAGCTGTTTGCTCCCACGTTGAAGGAGGCAGGTGCAAATTGATGGTTTAAATCCAAAGGGGCTGGCTGAGAGTCTTTCAGGTAACTCTGAGACAAATGAGCCACTCAACTCACCCCAGCACCTTGCACCGGTGACCCAACCTCTGCAGGGGGGCTTTCCTCCTGTCAGGCAGCTCCAGCTCACCCTGCAACCTGCATCCATTTCCTAGCATCTCCAGGCGTGGTGGCCATTTTATTCCTCTTTCTGAAGGTTCAGAATAGGCTTGGTGTGCCAGAAGGCTTCCTACTGCACCAGTGGTGGGGTCCCCAGGGCTTTTAGCTTGAGAGAAGCCATACTGTGTACTTGCATGACGACCTCTCAGGGAAGTACAGATATAACCTTTGCTATCACTGTTTCCCTCGCAGCAGGTGATGAGCTGATTGATGGTGGTCACAGCAGGCAAGCTGGATACACCCTGAGGATCCCTCTCACCTGCACTGTGTGCAGTCCTTTGATTGCAGGTGAAACTTGGGCTGTGAAGGGCTGCTTCAAAGAAACAGGTGAGTTTATTTTCAGTGCTGACCCTGAAGGTTGCAGGCAGGCGGTGTGTGCATGCATGCACAGGGCAGGCACCAGGGAAAGGCTAAAAGAAACAGTAGGGCTGACAGGAGCCGTTTGCCCTGCCTTTGTTTACTGGTCCAAATGTGGATTATTGTCCTGTACTAACTGGCAGTCCCTGTGCAGAGGTAATGGTGGGGCACAGCCACCTGCAGCAGAAGGTGGGAAGGCTGATCGGCCCTGGAGGGTTGGACCCCCTGCAGTGGCAGCTGGGGATGACAGCCTGCTCCAGCCTTGGTCCTGTGTGCGTGCCAGAAAACCTCTGCTCTGGTATTGCACCTTCCCAGCTTGCACGGTAAGGATTTTCAGGTTAGCTACAGGATACTAAGTATGGTCTTGTTACAGTTGGAAAGCAGGGTTGTTTGGATTGCTCTGATGGTATATGGCTCGCCCTTCACCCTGAGCGGAAGGAAAGCTGCTTCTTCCCTGCCCTTGTCCTCTCAGGAGTATTTATGGGATTTTCCCCTCTCTTCTCCTACACTTCCCTCCATGGAGGTGAGTGGAGAAAACAGCACTGATGTTTATTTTGTCTTCGCAACTATTTCCTAGTGATCTTTCTTCACAGTGGCAGGGAAGGAAATAAATTTGAGGCACAAAGCTTTCAAGAAGCTGGCAATTGCTGGGCTTTGGCTTTTTTTGTGGTCCCTCTGCTTGCAGTGCTTCAGGACCCCAGCAAGTTTGTGGATGACACCAAGCCAAGTGATGCAGTTGGTATGCTTGAGGGAAGGGATGTCATCCAGAGGGACCCATCAGGGTCTCAAAGCTTAAGGAGTGGGCCAATGTGAACCTCACGAAGTTCCAACAAGGTCAAGTGTAAGGTCCTGCAATCACCAGTGTCAGTACAGACTGGGTGATGACAGGATTGAGAGCAGCCCTGAGGAGAAAGACTTGGGGGTTCTGGTTGACGAGAAGCTCTACATGACCCAGCAATGTGCGATCGCAGCCAAGAAAGCCAACCATATCCTGGGCCACATCCAAAGCAGCGTGACCAGCAGGTCGAGGGAAGGGATTGTGCCCCTCTGCTCTGCTCTGGTGAGAGCCCCCCTACAGTACTGCCTTCAGCTCTGGGGTCCTCAGCACAAGAAGGACATGGACCTGTTGGAGCGAGTCCAGACAAGGCCATGAAGATGAACAGAGGGCTGGAGCACCTCTCCTGTGAGGACAGGCTGAGAGAGTTGGGGCTGTTCAGCCTGGAGAAGAGAAAGCTCTGAGGAGACCTTATCGCAGCCTTTCAATATATAAAAAGGGCTGATAAGAAATATGGAGAGAGCCTTTTTACTAGAGCCTGTAGCAACAGGACAAGGGGCAACAGTTTTAAACTACCAGAGGGTAGATTTAGATTAGATGTAAGGAATAAACTTGAGGCTGTGGAGGCTGGAAACACAAGGGGATGGTGAGTGCAGGGAGGCAGCTGGGTGAGGAGCTGAGAGCTCGTGACTGGGACCGACTGGGTGCTCGGGGCAGCAAGAGGGTCCCAGGAGTCTCCAACCGAGCACCTGTAACTAGCAGCTACTTTTTGACCCTCCCCGTAAAATGCATAAAATTGCTCCTGTTAGCAGGAAAGGGACCCAAAATGGATTGACTGTGGAGAACCCAAGTGTCCAAGGGAGGAACACAGCAGCAACAGTCCACAGGGAAACACTGCACACCTTTTTCCAAAGATTGAATTACCTTGAAACAAATGAGGCCTTCACCACACACGCAAGGAAAAAAAGAGACAAAATCAATGCTCACAAGACTGTTGCTATTGCACAATGAACAGAGCAGAGTTAAAAGCCCCTGAGATTAAAATTCATATTGCACCCATATTTAAGGACTGAGTTAAGATTTATACATTCTTATCTGCAGCCTTTTCTAATCTTTTATATGTGTCATGTCAAGGTGCTGCTTTTTGTTGTTGTATAACAGTGTGTCATCACCTAAGTAAGCCTGCGTTCAAAATGTGCAAGATGCAGAGGCAGCGCAGGAACCAGTGTGCAGGCAGAACGGCCTAACAAGTGGTTAGCTGTGGCTTAGCTGCATGCCAGACATCCCTGTAACAGACTTTCCAGCCGATTACAGCATACCAGTGAAGGTCTGGGTTGGGGCAAAGAGCTAGAAATCAAAGTCTTAATTTCATGACTCTATTACTACTGTGAGTCATGGCAAGTTTGGAAAAACTCTTCACTCCTGACTATTCATAAGCATAATAATGCTATAAAGCTTGTTGATGTTCAAAGCGTTAAGAGATGTTTAAGGTATTATATAAATGATAAATACTTACTGTAAAGGCTCATGTAATCACTTCTAATTAGAACCATAACATTTTCTTGTTTGGCTTATATTACCTCAAACATAATCCTTTGAGATCTGTGTGTATGTGTGTGTATATATGAAGTATACAATAAATAAGCTCTACTGTGGTTCAAAAGAGCCTCATCTGGGCAATGACTCTAAGCCAGACAAAACTGAAAAGAGTGAGCACAGCCAGAATCAAAATTGCCTCTTCCCTCCCCTCAAGCTGACAAATCTTATGTACTTCAAGAGCAGCATTTTTTTCTCACTCCCTCATCTATGAAGACCAGTGATCTATTTCATCTGCCTCAAACAAAGGACTCTTGAAATATGTTCTCTTAAATTTATTTTCTCAACCCTGGAGGCATACACTTACTGCTGTTTATTCATGCTTTTTGTGCTAAGATATTGGAAGGACGCATGTACTTTCTGTCATTGTTACAGCATTCCCATGGAAAACTCCAGGGCAGCCAGCGTGTTCCCGACTCAGGCTCTGCCCACCACCGGCTGCAGAGTCAGCAAGCCAAACCTTGCTTAGGCGGGTACAGAAGCAAGCGGTATCTTTGCTAAGCTGACAGCTGACCGATGTGCTGCCTCTGGTTCTGATCTGCACTCAGTGAGCTGGGGGAAAATGCAGTAGGGAACTGGAGGAGGACCCAAACGCTGCCTTTGAAATTGCAGCTAGTTCCTCCCAGCAGCATTCCTCAGGGAGCGCATGATCGGCATGTGTCGATCCCCGTGACTCAAAAGATAAAGCGCTTCACTAGCCCAAGCAAAAGAGGTCACAAGTGTAGCTTCGGCTGCGATTCAGAAAAGCACTTGAGTGTCCTTTGCTTTGTGAGCGGTGTGGCGTAAGGCAATAGGATGCATCAACAGGCACAGGAGCTGTTGAAGGCTGCCCACCCTAGCTGTGTATTCAGCTCCTTCTTCACGGGAAAGGAAAGGAAGCGTTGTCAGCCTAAGTTTGGCAGCACTACAGTTGCAACTTGTTAACAGCCCATTGCTGTTTGGATTTGGTCAGTGCAGGATGAAAACATTACAATCAAACACATTTTAAAAGCAGGAGTCCAGCTTAGACTGATGCAAAAAAACCTTGTTAAAACATCCATTCAGCGTCAATTTTATTACATCACGTTATAGCAGTATTGTTGTATTTGGGGATTCAATACACACTTCAGCACCTTGTAGGACAATACATTGTGGACTGGTCGCCTGTTTAGCACGCGATGCCCAGTGTCCATCCCTTGCTGAAGCTCCAGCTCTCTGGCATGGTCCCAGAGCTGACTTCACACTAACGTGGCAAGGGCCTGGACGTTCTGGGAGCTTTCAGAGGTTCTGTGGACGGCATGGTGGTTTCTGACGCTTCTGTCTCTAATGCTGCTTTTGGGGCTCTGCTGAGCCTTGGCCACATGGCTCTGGAAGGCCCGGACGGTTCGGATAGCGAGGACGCAGACCACAAAGCTGGCAAAGTACAAACAGGCGGCAGCGACACCAAAAAGGCCGATGGCCGCATCGCCACCCTGGACCACGCAGTTCATGGAGGTGTACCCACGGCGCGCGTACAGCCTCTCGCGCCTCTTGCAAACTTCTGTGGAGTTCACCTGGCTGACAAAATGGAGGTAGAGGCCGACCGCCACTACGTATGCCACGCCAGCCAGCAGGTTGAAGGCACACTCGCCGGCCAGCAGCCCCGTCCTGAGCTGCTGGATGGGTTTTGCTCCCACGACAAGGAAGACGAGGGTAAGCGCTGCTGCGGTTAAGCTGAAGGCTACTCCGCCATACACACAAGGGGCTCTCATCTGGGTGAACTGCATGTCTAGCTCCCTCACCTCCCGGAGCTCCGTGCCCTCAAAGGGGCTATAGGCTGAATTCAGGCTAAAGGATCCGAAGCCGCCAAGGGACGTGAAGCCTGCAACAGAGGCCTGGGCAGCGCCCACACAAATCAGCACCAGGAGGTTAACCGTGATTTCCACAAACTTCAAAATACCTGTAAGGAGCAGAAAGATGGGAATAGGTGTCAAAATCACATCTTGTGCAAACTGGGGGTGTCAGAAGTACACCAAAACCACAGACACAGAGCACTATTACTGAGATAGTCCTCTTGGCTACAGCTACAGAAGAGCGCTACTTTAAAAAAGGGCAGCGCAAGCTCTCGTGGGTACATTTCAGAGGTTGGGCAAATTACTTTTTTTAATTTGTCAGTGTGCTTGATAAATGGATCTTCATCTGGGTAAAGAAATCCATAAAAATTTTACTGTGCTTGTGTTATTGCCAAGGCGAGCGCACAGTGATTGTATTTTGGCCTGTAACTACTACTTGGCATAAACACACTCGGCAAGAAATAATCCAGTATGAACAAAATGCTGAGGTTAAAGCTGACAAAACCCTAGAAGCTTCTAATGGCTTAAAAAATTGTGCAAGTTATTTAGGTCCTTTAAAATGTGTTTACTGCTTCAACTTACACCCTTTTTTTGTCTTTCTAAGTGTTTGTTAATTTAAACTTATTATCTAAGCAGCTGCAACTTCCACTTCATCTCCTTCAGAGATAAAAATCTCTTCATAAATCTGAAAAAGCAGTACTTGATTGCACAAAAAAAGGAGGAGGGGAAGGAGGCAAAAACCACCTTATATGCAGAGGTAAGTTAAGTGAATTTGATACTGTGTCATATGTTCTCATCTACACTGCCACCTTCAGAAGAAAGCCCTGTTTATGACTTCTGAGCCGACTCTTCTTTTTCTTATGTTTTGCTACTGATAAAGTTAACCAAGGTTTTTAAAGGAAAACAAAAAAAAAGGTGGATAAAGGACTTCTTTTTGTGGTAATTGCCTGTCAGGAAGGTGCAGCATGCTAGATAAATCTGATTATTCTGTGACAGCTCACTAGGGGTCAGACTAAGATTAGTAAACATGACAGATGTTGAAGCGTAGCATAGCTAGAGTTGCCTCTTTGGGAAATGAAAACCCCTAGTGTACCACGCGTGTTGCTCCTCAAGTTCTGCAGTTAATTACACAATTGTGAATCTTATTATTCCATTGCAGTCTGACAGCCAAGAACGTAAGATGCTCAACACAGTGGTCCTATATTTGTCTTTAAAGTGGGGCAGGATCTGCGGTTTGCATACAGACTTTCATTTTATGCTGCTAACACTGATCAGGATGGCATTTTTCCTCTTGAGCAATGGCTCGGTGGTTGTTAAGTCTGTATGGGCTTGAAAAGAAAGGGCTGAAGCAGTATGCAAGGGAATTAGACAAATTCCTCTCTTGTGTTGCCAGATGCTTCTAACCGAAGAAAACCAGTGACAACCACCATGAAGGATTATCGGATATTCCCGTTCTGCCCCTTTTTATTCCTCCACAGAGGGCTGAAGTCGCTATCTCCTTCCTGCTGCCGCTTGCTCTTCATGGGAAGGTGTTTGCAATGGTTTGACAAGGGCCTTTGGCCACTTCAGGAGCTCCTGCTTCCACCTCTACCCAGACTGGTCGCCTCATTTCTGCTAATGCAGTTGGAGGTAGGTACCAAGCCTATTCACATCGTGGCCTTGCAAACCATCCCAGAAGCACAAAGAGGAGCAGCAATAATGGTGGAAATACCTGGGAACAGATATCTGAGGCTCAGCATGTTTCAGTTTGTGTGTGTATATATATATATACACACATATATACACAACTGAATACATATACAGATTTCATATCCTAAAAGGAATTAGGTAGAGCAGTCAGAGAAGACAAAGTACCCTTGTTGAGGAGGAACTAAGCGTGCAGTTCTATGTATGTGTTCTTCAGAGGTGATGCTGATTTCTGCACGACAACACGCCTTTTTCTTGACCCTTCTACACAACCATTTCTGTGAAGCAGGGCAAGAACCATGCTGGTTACCAGATGTGTTCAGGAAGCTTCATATATTTCAAAGGAAATATTTGTGAAGCTAAATGTAAAGAGAAACTTAAATCTTGGTCCATGAGACAGGATTTGGAACTCCTTGTACCAAATTCAAACAATGCAGCCAAAAGACTCAACGTTTTTAATGGGTACAGAGTCATCACATTACCAGGACTGTTCAAAATATTTTCAAAGCGTAATAGCTGTACAGGACATTCATTGGAACTGGATCAGGTATTTTTTTTGCCTGCTCAATTTAGCTGTACAATATGCCTTCCAAATACAGGGACTCAACTTAGGTCCTCGTGGCCCTTGGACAGTGTTGGACGTAGAAAGCCACTTCCCTTTTTAAGGGCTGACTACTGATTTCAAAGATGCTCCATCAGGAAGCAGTTCTTACAAGTCTACAGGGAGGAAAGACCATTTGATTAAGGGAAACATAAATTTTAAATATGTTTCGGAGCTTGGAATTTGGGAATTCATGACTAGTCAGCTTTCTTGTACTGCTGTCTTCAGAATTTCCCTTTCGTCTGTGACTGGTGAGGCACTCTGACCTGCCGAGCATCAATTTTTCATGTACATCACCTTGCTAAGCTTTAGAAAGGGCAATTCTCTGTTGTCAAAGTAGTCAGCACCTGCTGCGAACCTCCCCACACTTATAACTGAGCCCAATCCTCAATGACACTGCTCCAAAACTTCCTATATATTCACAAATTCCGTATGCAACCCCTTAACTTCACTGAGCTGATTGCTGGTACCACAGTAGGGCTGGCAGAACGTGTCTCTTTGCTCATGGGATGACAAATATGATCAATGTAGGTCTACTGTATTTTTAACTGCAGCAGTAGATGCTTTCATGGCATGCCTGGAAGATTTCCTTAGACGGGGCATTCAGGTTTGACAGGTTTTGTATGTACCTGTACAGTTTTCACACATGCCTGCTGTAGAATTGATGAGAGTAACTAAACAATGGAGAGAGGATCAGCAGCAGTTACTCCACCAGTTATTTGCATCACATGGATTAACTTTTTTTTTTAAAAAGTGCAATAACAAAGCCTCCTGTATCAAAGAAAATCCTAAAATGATAAGCAGAACGAAGCTGTGCATTACAGGTCTGCAATGAGAGCCAGCAGGGTTTGTGAAAGTAGCAGACAATTAGTGGAAATCCCTGAGGCCTTGTACAATCATCACGGCTTTGATGGAAATATTAAGCCCTACGATATGCTCAGATCTTGACCCGGGCACCCCAAAAGCCTCGTGCAACCTTGATCTGTGACAGTTACAAGCTGATACCCAATCATACTATACTAGTATAAACAGGATAGACAGATGTGAGAAATAAGGAATAAAAGGATAGTTAAGTTTCGAATCTTAGCTCTGTCAAGGTGTGCTAACGCACAGATACTAGCAGTGACCAATGTCAAGCAGTGTACTGCTGGCAGAAAGGGCTGAGTTAAAAGCCACACTTCTGAGCCTGTGCTGCTGTTCCTGCTTTCAAGGGCCAGTTAGCTATGTCATCTTAAGAGTTACAGCTGCAGAAACTAGACAGCTAAAAGGTCTTCCTACAGGGAAGTTACTTACCTCTACAACTGTTCCCTAATCCCATGCAACAATGAACGTATTGCAAGACTTGAATGTAAAGTGACAGGAGGTCTGAAAATCTCAGAACTCCACTGGTCTGGTTATTTTTTCCTTTTTCAAGTTCAAAATCTTGAGATCTATCTACTGATTTGTATTAAAATTAGCACAGTGAATAGTTGGCTTTGGGAACTAACCCTCTCCATACTGAGGAAGTAACGAGACTCAAGTCTGCGCTCCTGGATTTCCATTTCCTTTCCCATGCTTTTTTCCGGCACTGCTTTTCAGCACTGAAGGTGAGGAGAACGGCTGCAATTTAAAAGATGGTGGGTGTTGCTGGAGCTTTCCAGAGAACTGTTTCATTCATTCCATAAAATCTAAATCTCCAATGGATAGTAACTTCAGTGTATCGTACTTGTTTGAATCCAGTCTTTTTTTGCTGTGAGTAGACTTCCTGTTATAACAAACAGCAGCCCTCCAATTTATAGTATTAATCTACTACTCATTTTTTTCTTCCCCTTCTATACCAGCTGCCTGCAGTGCTATTGCCATGGTGTTAACCCACTGATCAATGGTTTTGTCTTCTGTCAAATGGTGGGTTCAAACGTCCAGCAAAGCAGCCAGGCAGGCTGTTAAGGGTACAGATCCGCAGGCAGCTGACCTTACTCTAATGGCTCCTACCCTTGGCTGGGCAGTCACCGCTTTTGTCCCCTGCCCAGTAATAACTCCAGCCTAGCGTTAGGCCCTTCCAAGAGCAGTTTTAATAAATTAAAATGGCAGGAAACAATTCAACTCTTTTCTTGTGTGCTGCTGTTTTTTCCTGCAACTTTAGCAATTTGGAGTGACTCACAGCGTATCTGATGAGCAATCGTGCTGGCACAAGTTTAGCAGGGGAAATAACACAGCCAGGACCAGAGAAAGACCAGAAACTCCTTTTCAGGTGAGGTGAGCTGTTAAATCTGCATGCTCTGCCTCATAAAACTACACTGCCGCTGACTGTGTGGTACCCAGTAACTCAACTGTGTGCTCAAGTCTCATGCATCAGAAGCTGTAAAGAGGCATTTTCATCCAGGCACTGTGGCAGGACAGCCCCAGTATTCAGGTGTCAGGATCACAGTGTGCGTACGTACGTGTGTACATAAAGTGAAATGGTCAATTCGTGTTTGTTCCTATGTTTCTGCAGCTGACATAAATGAATCTGCAGGACAGTCAGTTCTGGCTGTTTCTGTTGAACTCCCCTGACCCCACGAGGGACTGAGGAGGCCTTCAAAGTGTCTCCCTCCACTGCGTCCTGGCACAGTAGTCACTTTTCCTCTGTTGACTGCACATGGACTCTCTCTCCTGTCTCTTTTGGTGTCACTCCCTCCTCTTCAGTTAACGTCCCTGTGTACTTCTAAGATATTTTATGTTTGTCGTTCTCCATTCTGGCTCGCGTTCTCCCTCTGCTTCCTCTGCAGGCCACATACCACTGGGACCAGTGGTACCCAGCTGGCAGCCCCAGGGGTGCCTGGCTGTCCCCCTCAGGCACCC